GAACATAAAAGTGGTCCGGTCCATTTGAAGGGGGTGTGGGGGGGTGGCGGGGTTTCAAGAGGACCAGGGGAAGAAGGGAGGAAGGGCACATGTTAGAGAGAGAGAGAGAGAGAGAGAGAGAGGGTGTGGCCAGGAGACAGAGCATGAGAGCCTCAACATGGGACAAAAATAAACCAGCATGTACCGTACTTCCTTGACGCGCAACAAGACTTTCCCCATATACCGGACAGCAAACACAATCAACTTGAAATGCACAGAGAAATATCACTAAAAAGAAGGGTTGTGCACAATAGCGCAATAATGTGTTCAATATATATAAAAATTTTAAAAAAGTGAGCCACGTGGGGGGAACTATTTCCAACTGGAAATTCCATTAATGGGAGTGATAAATTGCAATTGTTATGCACACTAATGAGGTATGGCAAGTGCTGGGAGAAACACACTCATTTTTCCCCTTCTTTATTTGGGCAGAACAACACTTGGCACACTTGAAAACAAATGACATTTTTCAGAAAAGGTTCCACTTCACACTGCAAACCAGCGGTGGTCTGTGACCTCACATCAGACTTCTGCAACTTGGTTCACTAGCCCTGAGTTCAGCCAGCCTCAGAGGATTCTTTTGTTGTTGTGTTTCTGAGGAGAACTTGCTCTTTCAAACAGATAAAAATAAATAATAATAATGCAAAATGCTATCGACAATCCCAATGCAGCTTCCGTGTGAAGGTCTTCCTCTGTTGTTCATCACCAAATCGATGGGTGGTATGTATGCGTGTGTTCTACTGCCCTCTGGTGGCCAAAAGATGGAGCAACACAAAACTCATTCTAATATCATGATGCTGTAAATCGAATTCTTTACATTCAATTTAATTAACAAATGACCACTATTACACTGTACAGTGCTATTTTTTTATTGTATTAATCCCCCCCCTCCAATTTTGCTGCTGTAGACTGCAAATTTCCCCAGTGTGGGACAAATAAAGGTCTTATCTTATCTTATTTCACTTAGGAAAGATGGTTGACAGTAACAAAACAAATTCAACTTGTAAACCAATGTGCCACTGGGTTACATCAAAGGAAGCTCTCCAAATCATTTTACTCTGCCCGACTCAAACGTGTCTGTACTTGTGATCAGCGTCCAACAATTACAAGAGAACTTTGTCCTCAGTCAAAAAATAGTGTGCTGACACATTTCACACTGTATTTAGCAATTTTTTTTTTTTTTTTTGCGTGCCTTTGACTGGCACCACAACCGCAAGCGACAAGACTGGTCTTCTTTGAACAAAACTTCTGACCAAGGCAAAATCAATCATACACACTCGTCTCGTTCAGAGATTTGCGTGGCAAAATACAGACAATCTGGAACCGTTCTGCATTTTGAGTCTTTGGTGAACCTAACATAGATGTTTGAGGATATGGAAAGCCCAGAGAAAATCACTGCGAGCACGGTGAAAGCAAGCAAACCCCTAACTGCTGAGATTCGAACCCCAAACCTTGCAACTGCGATTCGATATGCTAGCAACTAACCACTCAAAGCAATGTTGTCGGCACAAAACACAACCGCCATTGGCATGACAACTACGAGGCCTTTCAACTTGGGGATCGTCTGCCGTCTGTGACTGAAATGTGAACGTTATAGGAGTGGAAACATTGTTAAACGGGGTATGTTGACTTGAAACAAGGTTCGGCTGTAGTCATACAACTGTTTCCACTCATACAGCGGAGTGAATCATGGCTAGTTCAAAATAAAAACTTTATATTTAGTGAGTCAATGTGTGAATGAAATGCGATCACTACGCTTGATGGTGTTCCGAGAGTTTTTTCTCATGTAAACTGGGTGCCTTGTTCAAGGTATCAAGATTCTGCATTTACTTTCTTTCTTATCCATTCGGAATAGTTATCTTTAGTTGTACAGTTGAGTAATCATTTTTAAGGCGTTGAGAAGAAATCTGCACAATGGAACCAAATTTCTACTATTCTCGCAAATTTAGAAGATTTTGGATGTGCACTCCAAATGCCCGTGACTTAAAGTATTTGTGACTGTATTTACACACATAATTGTGACTTAAAAGTTTTGCTGACTCTATTCACAACCACTGTGATCTGTTAAAAAGCACACGTTGATTACAAAACTTGAGCAAATTGCAAATTTGGTTCCGCCTCATGTTTTGCAAAACATGTACTTGTAAACATGTACGAGCATAGTATTTCCTTTCATTATGATTTTTACGGGTCCGACACACTCCACACGAGTTTGATGACCCGTCCAGAAATAAATGTTGAAAACACAGTTGGAAGAACACTGAACCAATGCCACCACCTGCTGTCAACAAACGGATTTTCACTTGTAGCCTATCTGGCTCTTACCTTCTTGTGAAGAGTTTTAGTCCAGTGAATGATTTGGAGCAACCGAAGAGCATCTCCTTCTCTTCCTCCAGACAGTTTGGAGGGAGGCTCGGGGTGGAGGGGGCGATGGGGGAGCAGGTGCGTCGTGAAGAAGTTGATGAGCTGGAACCTGATCCCCCATCTTGATCGTCTTTGAATAATTCCTCTCCATCGCTTGCATTTTCCTCGGGAAAATAATCGTGTGGGTTCATCCTTGCGACTAACATCTGCTCGGTCTTGATATCCATGTCGGATACTTTTAAGAAGTTTTGTGCTTTAAGGTTTAGGCCTGCCTCATTTTGACCGGTGAAGCTATAAAAGCTTGTGGAATGTTCTTGTTCAAGCACAGTGAACCGATATCATTCAATTATAATGAAGAAGCTTCAAATGTGGTACACAATTCACAACTAAAATGTTTGGCAGTTGTGATTGAATGACTTTTCAAAAGCATAGCATACAACCTGCTCACAAATATTTGCTGGTACAGTGTAAACGCGTTTGCCTTAACACCAACTAGACAGTGTTCACCAAATGTAAACGTGAAGATGACTATTACAACGTTATTACCGGCGTTCAAGGGACTCAAAAGACTTCAAATATGGCTACCCTAACAAAGGCTACAAAGTCAATAATCCACGAGCCAAAGGTCATGAAACAAGGCACACAAAGTGTGTGTGCGTGTGTGTGTGTTGCGAGATTAGTGTTGACTTAATCCTTGCTCACATTCCTCTCCAACTCAGTAGTTTTTGCAGAGCCTCACTCTCGTGTCACTTCATGTCTCACTTGTCAGTCCTCCACTGTTTTTTCTCAGAGGCTTCTTCGTCCTCCATTTCTGACTTCTACAAGTTCACACTTCTCTCCTTCCGTCTTCCTCCTCATTTTCGCTGTTTAGACTCCATTAACGTAAACGTCGACACGTACGAATACGCACAAAATGCATGCCGGGCTCACGTAAAACAAGCACAGGCGCGCCGCGCGCGTGCGCGCGCGCACATAAAACGACACATTCACACACCAGCCGTGATTCTCTCCTGCCCGCCCGGCTCAAAACACGGAAGTGGCTTAGAACAACGATCCCGCGATCGGGTCCTAACTGTTAGCTGCCCTGTCACATGCCTAAACAAAAAAAAAATTCTAACACCGACCGCCAACTTCTCATAGTTTATTATAGCACATACCAAAAAAAGAATAAAAACCACAAACCAACCTACCAACCTCGAGACATTACATAGACAAACCTATAATATGTTATGTAGCATGTTATTTATCAGAATCAGAATCAGAGCTGGTATAGGCTCCAGCATGCCCGTGACCCTTGTTAATGCAGGCATTAATTACTATTACTTATTACTTAACATTTATGCGTGTGGCCCTATTATCGCTACACAACAAAAAATACATTAGATAGAAAACATAACATTGACACCGATGGTAAACCAATATTTATATTTACACTGTTGTTTCATACAAGTGTTATCACAGTTATTGACAAATTATGTGTCTAAATGTCAACGTGGAATAATATGGCAAAATATGTCTGTCTCACCCTGAGCCAAAAGTGTCAACAAAGCAATGAATCACAACTAAGTGATGCATTCTGCAAAGCTTGAAAAGGATGGCCATACAAACTCTATCCCCAATGTACACATTGGTGCGCGCGCGCGCGCGCGCACACACACACACGCACACACGCACGCACGCAAGCACACCTGCTCACTTTCTCTTTCATCCATCGCCCACTAGCATTTCCATGACAAATAAAATGCCACTCAGAAGCCTGACACAATTTTCCAAGAGACCCTTTTAACACCCACCGCTGACCCATTTTCTCGGTTTCTCTCCGGTAAACGACTATAACTGTGAATTTGTCATCCGTATATCAGTAACCCTGAACATGATCCACTAGTATTTTACTACCAAGTGGCGTTCTTGTCTTTTTGACATTTTAAATATGAACGGACATTTCAAATCAAACCAAACCCAATCTTGTTCATATTGCACCTTTATACATTAAACATCAACATAAAGTGCTTTAAGGGGATTAAAAACAGGGAATACGAAAAGGCAACAAGTATACAAGAACACAACCCTTGCATCACTACCTATACACACACACACACACACACACACACACACACGCACACGCAACACATTTCGTGACAGTGTAGAGAGACATGACTAGACACCGTGGCCCCAGGTGATGAAAACAATTTGCGGGAGCAACCGACACCGAGAGGTGCCGTCGTCCACAACCACAGAGTCTGCTGTCACAGAGACCACACAGGCAGACCGAGATTCCTTTCTCACAATGTGAAGAACCCTCCTGGTCCCCCGGCATCCAGGAAGTCCACAGGATGACATCTCCTCAAACACACCTCTCAGCATGGAGGCTCCCATAATGCACCACTGGAGTTAGGACTTGTAAAAAGTTTTCAGCTCAAAGAGGCCAAAAGTCAACTATACACATTAAGATAAAAATAATAATAATAATAATAATAATAGGGGACAAAATGAAATAAAATGTAATTTAGTGGATACATGAATAAATTGGTGTGTAGATTAAGGGAAAGAGAGTGAAATAAATGGTTAAATGAATTAGTGAAGAGATGAAATAGCCAATTAAATAAATCAGTGAAAAGCTAAACTAAATAGGTGAGTCTTGAGCCTAAAAGGGAAAGAGAGTGAAATAAATGGTTAAATGAATTAGTGAAGAGATGAAATAGCCAATTAAAAAAAATCAGTGAAAAGCTAAACTAAATAAGTGAGTCTCGAGCCTCCTTTTAAAAATATCAACAGTCTGTGACATCCTGATGCCCGCTGGCAGACTGTTCCAGAGGTTCGGGCTATATAATGGCTCACTGCAGCCTCTCCATAAATGTGGGGCAATATTTTTGGGAACAATCTAAAAGCTGGTGCCCAGTGAGGGTTCATATGATAAAAGCCTATCAGATTGATCTGATGGCAGGGTTGCGAGGGTTATTTTTAAAATGTATTTTGGTACATTTACTAGTTTCCTGTTTAAAAAATGTAGTTAGTGATGTCATCCAAGTACCATAATATTCAAGTAATGTAACTTGAATACTTGTAGTTACTTTTGGATTACTCTAATATCCGCTATGCTAATGAAGACAAAATAAAAATAAATGTTGCTTCGATATATATTTGCATACAGTGGACTGGCCGTAATGTAACTTGAAGACTTGTAGTTACTTTTGGATTACTCTAATATCCGCTGTGCTAATGAAGACAAAATAAAAATAAATGTTGCTCCGATATATACTTGCATACAGTGGACTGGCCAGCCCGCAAATCCATCGATAGATCGATCAATGATTCTCAACCAGTGTCCCACTGCTGGGGCACATTTGCGTCAGTGCTCTTGTGTTCCACGGCGGGTGACTGGTTAGCACATCGGCCTTACAGCGCAGAGGTGCAGGGTTCAATTCCAACTCCGGCCTCCCTGTGTGGAGTTTGCATGTTTGCCTGGGTGGGTTTTCTCTGGGTACTCCAGTTTCTTTCCACATTGTAAAAACATGTGAGTGTGAGCGCGGATGGTTGTTCGTCTCTGTGTGCCCTGCGATTGGCTGGCAACCGGTTCAGGGTGTCCCCCGCCTACTGCCCGAAGGCAGCTGGGATAGGCTCCAGCACACCCCGCGACCCTTGTCAGGATAAAGCGGCTCGGTAAATGAATGAATGAATGAATACACACACACACACACACACACACACACACACACACACACACACACACACACACACACACGTGTTGTATAGTTTCACCGCATATTATTTGAAATTTGAAGGTGAATTAAAGAAAGATTCAAAGATGAAGTGGCCACAAGGCGGAAGAGGAGAACAGAATGAGTTGCCACATTTTATTTTCTCTGTGTTTTTTTTCCCTTCTCCATCCTTCTGGTACATGCTGTGGTGCTACGTTATACAACTTCCTGGCTCCAGGCAAGGCGTGCATTGTTCCTCCCCTCCCACTCCCTCAGCTGCTTGACAAATCAACGCTTGTCAATATTAATCGCGAGTATGATCACGCCTGAGGGAGCAATAGAAGCCTCTGAGCTTCAAAGCACTTCATTCGAGTTGAAACGATTAGAGAGCTTCAATAAAATAAACTCAGACAAATTACAAATGAGGTGAACTGCGACAGTACTTTTTAAAAAATATATTTTAGAAGGAGAAAGACAATTAAAAACGGCGTGAAAAAGTTGTAGCTCCCTCATGACTACGAATCGTGTTTTACAACGCTCCACTGGGTCTGAGATGAATACTTCCTGGACATTGTGCAATCATTTTTACAGATTACATTTGTCCGAGCAATATTATGCATATTAACAAATGTCCTGCACACGGTTATATTATTATCATTATATATAGTTCTCAATATTCAGCCTGTCTGTTGAAGACGTGACTATATTAATCGCACAGGTCATCATTTTTGACATCTTTCACTGCTTTTGAGTTTTAAAGTTCAATGGAATTACTGCGGATGCATCTGCCGAGCAAGAGATATTTCATAAACTGACATTTTGGGTCTATTATTATTGATCAAAATATCGTTGATAGCTACAGACATCACGGTCAATAATATTAAACTTCCCGCTTTGCACCAAGTGTACAAAATATTCAATTTAATCCGTCAATCAATCCATCTCCATCCATAATACAAATCTTGCATTTATTTCATTCGATCGTGACTTTGGTCACAACATTTTGGCTCGCCAACGCATGGAACAAAATAATCAAATAAAAAAAAATTAAAAGGTGTCCAGGGGACAAACAACACTTTCATTTCCTGAATGAATTTGTCGCAATTGCTCTCAGATGCGCTCTGGTTTATTTTGGACTTGATTGGCGACGGAGAAGTTGAAGTGATTAGAGAGGAACCATAAAGAAGGTAATTACACTGATTGGCTGAGTGCTAAGCTGTATGTTGTCAACGTTTTGGGGTTTGGAGGAGATGATTCCATTTTGTTGCTCAAGAGTTACAGACGGCAAAATGTGTCGTTGACTGAGAAGGTCCGCCGCTACTGAATCGGTTAGTGACGATACCGATGACGGAAGAAAATCCGCTTCCATCGGCGCTCAGTCCATCAGTCTTTCAAAGTTTCTCCTCATTTGCCAGCAAACTGGGAGTCCATCAGCGCTGACGGAATGTCAATCTCTGATGATATTATAGTAAGCCAATGCGACATTATGCGTTTTAACAATAACACCTAGCTGACTCATTTTAAAACATTACACTTAAATATCCAATTCACACACACACGTGGGTTTTCTCCGGGTACTCCGGTTTCTTCCCACATTCCAAAAAACATGCATGGCAGGTAAATGGAACACTCTAAATTGTCCCTGGGTTTTTTTTTGTGAGTGCGAATGGTTGTTTGTCTATCTGTGCCCTGCAATCGGCTAGCGACCAGTTCAGGGTGTCCCCCGCTTACTGCCCGAAAACAGCTGGTAGAGCCTCCAGCACCCCACCCCCGCGACCCTTGTGAGGATAAAGCGGATCAGATAAGGAATGGATGGATGGATATCCAATTAAAATGTATTGCACGTAACGGTTAGCTAAAAATGATAGCAAATGTAAATGCAAATGTTTTCAGAACCGCTGGTATTGACAAACAACCATTCATATTCAAATTCACACCTATGCACAATCATTCAGTCATCCTAACACGTATGTTTCTGGGATTTGGGAGGCAGCTGGAGTCCTCGGCGAGAACCCACACGAACAAAGCGAGAACAAGCCAACCCCCCCCCCCCCCACAGCAAGGTGGGAGCTGAACCCCACACCGCTGTGAACTAGGAGGCAGACGTGCCAAATACACCGTACTGCTGCTGCTGCTGCTGCTTCGCGTTCATCTCGTCTGTTTCATTTGAAGCCGTGCATCCTTCAAAGTCCAGATCTAATTCTCGAGAATAAATGCATTAAATCCAGGAAGGCTTCATGTCTGGTTCTTGTTGACGTTTATTATCTCTAATAAAACAACACATGGCAGGCGCCTGCCTTCCTGAAACACGGATTGACGCGCAACAAAGAACGAAATATA